CTAAATTATAGGTATTGTTATTTTCTCTATCCTTGAACGGAGGCTGCCATGTTTTTTACTGTCGTCCAAACTGGACAAACTAAACACCTTTTAAGTTTTTATGAGAACGGAAGACTACCACAGTTTCTCTTTCATGTTTCAAAGGGGAGGGTGAGGTGAGGACTATTCAGCGGCAAAATGCAACATCACCACAAGATGCCACTAAATTCTACACACCGAACCTTTAAATCTTATAACAATATATCATTAGCTTTATTTCTGACGGGAAACAGGTGCAATATTGCAGTGGAGGGCGGCAGAGCATTCCACTTGTGCGGGACAAAATGCAAATGTACCCACAATGAGGGTGGAACAATTTAATTTATCAACACTACACAAGCGATATTTTGACAAAAAAATCCAAGAGCAGAGAAGATATCAGAGAGCAGACATTTTGAACACTGAAAGAAGAGCTGAAGCTGAAGCATATGAAATCTGCCCAAGCAGTAAAATAACAAAGAAAATCTAGCAGGGGCTGATAAAGTGTCAGGGCAGAGTTTTGAGGGATGCAGTACAAAATCTAAAAGTGAAATCAATAAGTCCTGCACTCAAATTGAAAGATCATGCTCTTGAAAAATGATAGCACCAAAAAAACTCATAAAATACCAATTTATATATAAATTCCACTATCTATACCTACTTTTGCCAAGAGGCTGATTTCATTCAATCAGAGCCGTGGCTCAAGGAATGTTTTCATCGCTCTCATCCAAGCAAATGCAATCTGATTGCTTCTACTTGTTCGCTGTACATGCACTCAGTGGAATGGACTGAGCCAAATCCAACAGTATCTACCAATATTTTCTAATCTGGTTCACTGTATGTGGACAATAACTACATAAAACTAAATTAGATCAAAGTTATTGGGATGAAGCAAAAGGGAGGCATTGACTTCATGGAGTACATTGAGTACGTCTTGTTCAACCTAATGAGATGTGACCTCTAATCTTATTTGAAATCCATTCCATTGTAGCTTCCTCAGCCTCTGGACATTTCCAATTTTGTGAGAGAAACAGTAACTCTCTCTGACATTAACAGTCAGATTTGAATAACATTTTACAAACAGTTTGAACAACCAAGTTTTTAACTTAAAAAATAAAAAGTAATATTCAATCTGTGAGAGCACTGCGTCTGTGCATGAAAAGATGTTCCGTGTAAAAACAGGCCGGAATCACATCCTTTTAAGAATTTCCATTGATAATCAAATGATCCCCTGAATGTGCTTCCACAAAGCTGTAACCTACAAGGAGCTGATGTCAGCCATAAAGAATCCTGCATCATTAAGTGGAGTGAAAGAGGAAGTACATGCAGCTACTTACACATCAGGTGGCTCTACAGACTAATCAACCTTAAACTGCCACTGCTTTATTATAAATAGCAATGATTCCTTTGGTGATTAATTAATCAAATTCACATTTGTTTCCAGCTCTATATAGTTAGGAAATTTGAATATACAGAAAATAGTCCTCCTGGGACTATAGTGACATAGTATCATCTTAACTCACTGTGATTTAGTCATTTTGGAGGTGCAAAGCACAAAGGCTGCGGTATTATACTGGAAAATATTACTTCTTTTCAATTAATTTCTTGTGGTGTTTTACAGATACTTGTAATAAAACACAATGAGTCCAACTTGAGTTTTATCTGGCATGTCCTGCAGGATGTGCAGTACGCAGACATTGACTACATGGATCGTCAGCTCAACTTTGTCCTGGACCCAGAGTTTAAAAACCTGCCTGCCCTGGTTGACAGCATGAGAGGAGAAGGCATGAGGTTCATCTTCATTCTGGTAATGACCTCATAAATTACTCAGTTACAGGTTTAGCAGCCATAGAGCTGGTGTAAATATTCTATAGCCATTTCAAATGTTGAATGTTTAAGAAAAGTATAATATTGAATCTTGATAAGTTTAATTACTGCATTGCTAGACATGTCCTTTCACTTTATACACAAGCATTGTGTCTATTTAACTCCAGGATCCAGCCATTTCAGGCAACGAGACACATTATCCTGCCTTTGACAGAGGTAACAAAGCGGATGTCTTCATAAAATGGCCCAAAAACATCAGTGATGAAATCGTGTGGGGGAAGGTAAGAGGGAGTGGATGGACAAACTAACAACTGGGAAAACACATTAGCTTTTATTGATAAAAAGAAACTGAGAATGTCACAATCTTTTCCATTATGTGTGGTTTTCATAATTTTCTTTTGCAGGTCTGGCCAGATTACCCTAATGTCACTGTTAATGAATCTCTGGACTGGGATACACAAGTAGAGGTACACTTACATTTTAACTTCATTGACAGATAATAAATATAAAAACCTCTGAGAGATGAGACGGGCTGGTCTACAGTTTCTCCAGTTATTACTGTTATATTGTTAGTTACTTTAAGCAGGTGATAGCTAGCTCATTAGCTTTGTCAGTGGTAAGCAATGAATCCTGGGATATATTGGCCCGAGTACGATCCACTCGTTGGATCCTTATTTGCCCGGGAATGGAGCGACGAATTTGTCGGCAGCGTTTGAAGATGCCTTCCAAATGAAACAGCTTAGTGACCCCACTATGGTGAAATTGGTTTTCAAACACAGCCTCCAAAGGATGCAGCCTCTGCATCGAGACCCAGCTATTATCTAAAATTGTCCCTGATGCCATAATTAAGGAAATGCAGTGTAGACAATTAGAATAAATTAGATTAGATAATTCAGTTTCCAGCATTTGATTTCCTGATCATTTAATTGTCATTATCATTTGATTTCCAGCGCTACAGGTCATACACAGCATTCCCCGACTTCTTCCGCAACACAACGGCAACATGGTGGCATCAAGAAATCAAGGATTTCTATGAGGGCACTATGAAGTTTGATGGCCTCTGGATTGTAAGTGAAAGAGAGAAAAAAATAATTAACTGAGTTCCTCTCACATTCTGCCTGATTTTTTTCTACAATCTGTTCTAATTTATAGGACATGAATGAACCTGCCAGTTTTGTCCATGGCACAGTTGGAGGGAAGTGTCTCGGTAATCCACTTCTAGAGAACCCTCCGTATATGCCACGTAAGACACACACAGCACTATCCTTTTGAGAATGTTTACATTATGACGACATTGTTAGAGGTGTTACTTTAAAGGTGTGTGTTTTTGTACGTGTCCTTCCAAAAGCATTGGAGTCTAAACACCTTGGCTTGAACCATAAGACTCTGTGCATGAACAGCGAGCAGATTCTCAGCGATGGGAAGAAAGTCAGACACTACGATGTCCACAGCCTCTATGGCTGGTCCCACACCAAGCCTACCTATGAGTAAGCAGATTTATATTTAAATTCATTTTTGTGCTCGCCTGTGTGTGTCTTCTTTTGTGTTTGGATTATTTGTGCAACAAGTCTGTCAAAACACCCCAATCAACTGAATGCCACGTGAAGTGTTGACAAATTGGTCCTGCTCTCGTTATGGGTGCATTAGCTTTACTTCCTTAAGAGTTTTGCATGGGAGTGCAAGAACACATTTAAAGTTTCAAGCAACCACAGAAGCAGCATCAGCGTGAGGAGAGGGGATGAACATAATGTTATTATTCTTTACTTTACCAGGTATATAAATCCCCCTCACAGAAATAAATAAAGCCCCTGTAAGAGGACATATGTTTTCTTTATTCAAAAATTGTGTTGAGAAAGTGTCACTTAATTAACTCATGCATATTATATTTATTGGATTTTTGCTAAAAGCAGCAAAATGGATACATATTTGTGTTGCCCAGACTACATTAGGAAGAATACAAATTATTTTAATAATCACAATCCTACATAATTAGCCCACAGATGAAGTGAAGTGGAAGAGAAATCACATTCAGGAAGCAAATGCATCCACAGGAAATGTGGTGCTGATATCTTCCAGCTATCCACAGCAATATGGTCTCATCAAATCTTTATGATAATAATCACCAATGTGAAACTTCATTGGTCCTCACAGTGAAATTATCTTCTTACCACAGGGGGGGCTAGACTGCAGATTTATCTACCGACGAGCCGCAGAATGCTTGGCACCATCGGCCCTTGAGCCCAGTTGGGTTTAGCTCAGGAAGGATTTCATTTTAGCACCATGTTGAATTTAACAATCACAATTAATTGGCTAATTTGCTTCTAAAATGAATGTACTTTACTTAAGAGGAAAGGAGACACATCTAAATGCTGCTTGTTTCCAGTTTGTGAGTTTTGTGTGTGTGTAAGATGAATCTCTTTCTGTGCAGTGCCCTGCTGAATGTTACAGGCAAAAGAGGCATAGTGGTGACGAGGTCCACTTACCCCTCCAGTGGAAAATGGGCTGGACATTGGCTGGGAGACAACTCTGCCAGTTGGGACCAGCTTTACAAATCCATTATAGGTATATACAGAGATAAACATGTAAAAATCTCCTCCGGTTGAAATTTAATACCTGGTAGCCTGACTTGATCAGTAATCTGGGTAGTAAGTATTTATTTCCAGTATTTGATATAGACAAGAATAGACAGTTTCAACAGTAAAATCAACTGACAGACAAACACATAAATGAATAACACGAAATCTTGATCTTATAAAACTGCACACAGACAACATGGACTGAAGACATTTTATCAGAACTTTAGACTCACTGAGCTTCACTAGGTTTTAAAGTTGAAAATCAGTCTGTAACTTATTCCCAGCATTAGGTAACGAAAACAATTCAGTCCTGACTTTGGGAAAAACTAAATACCAAAATGTCCACAGAACAAATATTATGACTTCCATAATTCCAGTTTAAAAGATTTACCCAGTCGGTTTTGCAAATGAACACATCCCAATGACTGAGGCAATGCACATATAAGGTACACAATGGTGAGTACGAGTAATGAATGTCAGTGCCCCATGATAAACACTACCCAGCATCTGAAGACAATGACCTGAGACCTTCATATGCAACATATCTCCGTACTCATTTCCACCACAGAACAAAACTGTTACTGTAGTAAAATCCCAATAAGAGGCTTAGCTTTGAACATACTGAATGTGCACCTTAACAGACAAATGGTCATGGATTAAGAACCCTATGTATTTAAGAATAGATACCATCTCAATATGTTCACCATTTTTCTGATAACTGTTGCTTTGAAGCTGTCTCACACACTGTAAAGAATCTTTCATTTGGCATAACTTTCCATTTTCCTTTGCTCTGCAGGCATGATGGAGTTCAGTCTGTTTGGCATTCCTTATGTAAGTATAATCATCTGATCTTGGATTTGACAAGGCATAATCGTATTGATGTGACCTTGTCTTCTCTAAGTAGATTACAGCTGCTGGAATGATGCTATTTTGTTTCTCGAGACCCTTTGATCAGAGGACATCTTCAGATACATTGCAAAGCGTGTTTTACAAGCCCCACCCCGACCAGGGCCGTGCTTCACGGCCTCCACACATTTGTTATTAATTAAGTAGTCGTTGTTGTCCTGGCTCTCTTTGCCTTTGCCTCTTCACCCTGTGTGTCTCTTTGTTGTTATTTATGTCTCTGTCCTCTTAGATCTGCTCAGTGTGTCTAATAATAAAAACTATAATCTGACACCATATCAGTCCCTGTATGGAAGAACACATGCATTGCTCACAGCCCGGTCATAGGGTCATACACCCACAGCAACATGTGGCGGTGACTTGCTCAGGGACAGTTCAGAAACATGATGCTTGCAGCAATAGTAGTGTGACCTTTGATTGGACATTGTCCGTTGTAGTCACACCAGCACCTTGGTGCTTACATTTTGTTGCTTTCTATCCATCACACACACGCATGCACACGCACACAGATCCACTGAGACTGTCCATCAATCTCTTTCAGACTGGGGCAGACATATGTGGCTTCTTTAATGCAGCTGAGTATGAAATGTGTCTCCGCTGGATGCAGCTGGGGGCCTTCTATCCATATTCACGCAACCACAATGGCAAAGGAAACTCGGTGAGTGACCACGAGAAAAATGCTCACAGATAATCAATCATTCATTCAATCACACTCAGCCCATATTCACAGTTTGCAATTTGCCTCATAGGGCTTAACAAGGTGGGACATCTTCGCCCTTATGTGGGGAGAAAACTACAAAAAGACAAAATTCTTTTAACACAGAAACGCAGTCAGTCACAACTGAGGGAATCGCTCTCCCAGGTTGGCCAGAAATTCAGTAGCTGCTGCATGTAACAGTGCTCATCAACAAAATACCAATATTTACAACAATCACCAGATTAGACAGTGTCTAAAGCATCTATACAAAAGAAAATGTCTGACAGATTTAAGGAGGAGTAATGATAATTGTAATGATTGAGGTATGGTCAGTAAAAGTTGTATACGTGAGTTGGTATATTGTATGTGGCAGCAATCATAACCCATGATCAGCACCATCACGATCCACGATATGGAGCCGCCATCCTGGATCTGCAACAAAGACTCAGAAGAAGAAGTCAAGTCAAAATAAGAGATTTACTTGGCTGTAAATTTATTTAAATCCAGTTAACTACCTAAACATACCTTTCAGTTTATTTCACACTGATGACCAACTGGTAACTGTAACTTGACATTTCTGCTTAAATTAAATCAACATCCCCCAAACACACAAGAAAATAGTTAAAATAGTTTTTATTTCCAAACATTAGATTATCAAACTTTAAGGAAATTCAC